ACATTATTCTGTGTAATAGCTGTCCGTATTAGCTGAGGTTGAATGGTTTCCAATCATTGGTAGTAAAGAACATGTCTCTCTGACAGCGCTGGACTCAATCACTGCTAAATAATGTAATCCACTAATTAGCCAGAAGGTTGTGTGAGGGGAAGCAGAGCTCTCCCACTGTGAGCAGAGAGACCCAAGCCTTATTTTGTCCTTTTTAAGACGGCCTTTCATCCTTCTCCAAGGCAAAAAGAGTGAAAGTCACTCTGTGACTCACTAAGTAGAAAAAAAGAATCTCCCTCTCACCTTTTCTGTCTGCCTGGATGTTATTCTCTCTCCTTGGCCCTCGGGGAGTTGGCTCCTGACAGCATCACAGAGGAAAGAAAATGTGAAAAGTCAAAGTGTATGTGAAATGTTTTTGTGCGTGTTCATCTCTGTCTCTGTCTCTCTCGCTCTGTCTCTCTCGCTCTCTATCTCTCTCTCTCTCTCGCTCTGTCTCTCTCTCTCTCTGTGTGCGCTGAAGGAGATGGTGTTTTAATCCATTCAATCCAGTGCTGGTCTTATGGTTGGTTGTTTGTTTTTTTGAATGTATCTTTGCATGAAGAATGTAAATCACATATTTTATTGTGTAATTAAAGATGGTTTAAAAAGGCTCACCTCTTCCCATAATAGCAATTATACATAAAACACAAGTATCATCATACTGAATATAAAAACAACTACAATGTCTACATGTCTGGGTCTATAATTAATTTAGGATAAGTTAACACTTCCTTCACTTAAAACATTTGACACATAGCTAAATGTTTCAAAATGTATATCAGCTGCAGGTAACAGGAGCAGCTGCAGATTATGCAATATTTGTACAAAAGTAGTGGCCTGTAGTTTATTTAATTACTTTACACATGCAATGCAAAGTGATAAGCCCAAGTACAGATACAGAATGTCACTGAACTGTGACAGGCAGTAAAAATGTAAAGAAAGAATAGTTTATTTTGGTAAATCCACCTTTTCACTTTGTTGCCAAAAGACTAAATGCATGAAGACTAAAAACAGGAGCGCATTAACTTCCTGGAGTCTCAACTGGTTTCCCAACAACCTCACAGTGACGACAAGACAATTTGTAACCCACCGTAAAACCACAACACGACGTTTTTACACTTTGGTATGTGTACGGATGAAACAAATGAGATGTAATATGTTAATTAGTGACAAAGCTAACTGGCTGCTGGCCAGTTGTTCACTAAGTTGTTCACTATGTCCAATTTCGTTCATGCAGTTCAATCATTCTTTAGTGTTCCTGTTTCTCTAGATTTCCCTCTGACAGTCATGCTTCCAAATGACGATACAGTGAAAAATACCCTCCCTATTTTTAGGCCCCAGAATCATCACTTTCCAATCTGGTAACCTGACTTCGAACCCGCCTCAGAAAGCCCGCCGCCCCGTGGGACACAGCTGCATGGTAAACAGGAGGCGGGCTTTCTCCGAGTGCTCGGTGGTGTTTGATGTCCCCATCACAGCGACTCTCAAAAGAGCAATTTAGAAGAGGCTGACATCGGGGTAATTCTATCACTACCCTGACAGGCGCTGCTCATGGCAGCAAAGCAGCCAACAGTGAGTCCCTCAGAGAGCTGCATGTCGGGCTACGGGCTGGGCCAATATCCTGAAGCGGGGACATATGCTTTTATCTCTTGATCCCACCCGGTCATTCTCTTCACGTCTAAGCCAGCTTATGAGAGGCGTTTTGGTGAATGTCACCCCCCTCCATTCATTGTGGATACTCTTGTATATATGTGTTTATTTTTAGATGGCACATTACAAGTTATGCTCTTTTTTTTTATTACCATATTTTTCCAGAATGTGTGTCATTGTTTTCTAGATGAGGCTATTCCAGGTAACATGGATAATGTCACTTCCCCTGCCATATCCCATCTTGTGATACGTGTGTGTGTGTGTGTGTGTGTGTGTGTGTGTGTGTGTGTGTGTGTGGTTGGCTGCGTTAACAGTGCTGTCCTTTTAATCAGCACCCCTATGTGTTCCCCCGTAGTGCTGTCATTGGTTGAGTGATGACAGTAGAGCTGCCGCTGTTTACACCGTTTAAATCCGGCAGGCAGGGGTGAGATTACCAGCCTCTCACCTGTTGCCCTAATCAAAGCAGTTATGACTGCACCGCTGGATGTTACTCAGAATAGCTCCTTCTAAAAATACACACATACTGTAAAACACACACACACACACACACACACACACACACACACACACCCCGAAAGGGTAGAGTGAGGGAGCCTTTCGGGTAACAAAGTACGTCCGTTCTTTGTTTGATATTGTCTGTCCATCACTGAACTATACTGGCAGTGGTGGCTGCTGGGAGTGCATGGCTCCACTTTTGTGTTCTAGTTTGCTAGTAAAGTTGTGTATAGTGGTTACTACGATATGTTTTTTTTTTTTGTTTTTTTTCTAATAAAAAAAATCAAAGGTAACTGAAGCAGTATACGTTTATATTATTAGATTATTGTGAGTAGAAGCTGGACTTAATCTAAATGTTCATTATGCTATCATGTGTAGTCCGAGAAGTAATGAAGAACATCTCGTTTGTATCGTCAGAATGTCCTTCCAGTACTCGGACTCAATGATATATTTATTTGACATCTTTGGTACTACATTGGTCCACATTTTGCAAAAAGATCAGCGCCATGATATCCTCCCTATTATGGGTGTACATGTGATTCAGATAGTCATGAAGACGGCTCCTCAGGGAAAGTCGTATCCTCCAGGAAACGGCTATACAGGAAGTAATAGGCGGAGAGCTCGTGTAAATGACCAATGAAACAATGGAAATGACCGAGTGTTAAGTGTCTCCAGGATAACATTGTTGGATCGCAGTATTTGATGCAAAAAGCAATTTTTAAATTGCATATCGCATATAAACCCCTGTATTTGATTTTGTTGTTGTACCACCTATAGATGCTTTTTCTCTGGATCCTACTGTCCCTGTTCTCACCAAAACGCTCATCAGAACATGAATCCCGATCTCCGTGTTTGTATATTCGACATGGCCTCCCTGTTTTTGGTGCAGAGCGTACCCACTGATCCTCTCCCCTGGCTGAAGAGGCCTGTGAACAGCTCTCGGCCCGTGAGGCCACTTGACATGTAGAATATATTTGATCCACATAAGCTGTGCCGCTGTGGGACAGGCCCATCCACGTGGAGAGGAGAGGGAGACAGATGGGTAGATAGGAAGCCGACGACTCCAAAGACGGGATGGCTGGAGCAGGGTCAATATGGATCGGATCAATGGGACATTACCTGTTACAGCTTGAATCAGTTTCTCATTACTAATCTCTGATTTATTTATGTGTTTAATTCCCTCATGAAGTAAATCTTTTTTTCTGTGAAAGCCTGTAATCCAAAACTATTTATCATATCCTATCTCTTTGAATGTATGCAGTTTCCCCCCCAATAGTCCCTGTATACACATTGATGTGTCTGCTCGGCACGGTTTGTTCAATTTACACCATTGTTAGATAATTACACACTCCATCTACTCAAGTCCTCAAACGGAGCCTAATAAGTGCCCTTTGGACCAAGTGTCTCACAGAGAGACGGAAGTGATCGGTGTGTTTGTTCATCTACAAAATAAATATTAGATTATTGTGAAAGCTGAACTTCATCTAAATAAGATGGTATATTAACCAAGCAGTTTACTTCATAGCCCTGTTCATTATGCTATCATGTGTAGTCCGAGAAGTAATGAAGAACATCTCGTTTGTATCGTCAGAATGTCCTTCCAGTACTCGGACTCAATGATATATTTATTTGACATCTTTGGTACTACATTGGTCCACATTTTGCAAAAAGATCAGCGCCATGATATCCTCCCTATTATGGGTGTACATGTGATTCAGATAGTCATGAAGACGGCTCCTCAGGGAAAGTCATATCCTCCAGGAAACGGCTATACAGGAAGTAATAGGCGGAGAGCTCGCGTAAATGACCAATGAAACAATGGAAATGACCGAGTGTGAAGTGTCTCCAGGATAACATTGTTAACATGCGTTGTTGGATCGCATGTTGTTGGATTATTTGATGCAAAATGCAGCTTGTTAGCTTTCCAAAATGCCCGTAAAAAGCAACGGAGACCGGACAGAAAAGTAAATTATTGTGCGACTAAAACATTTCAGAAATACTAGCTCTTTTTTTCTGGACAACAGCTGTTGAACAGCAACTTTCTCTCTCTTAGTGGTTGAAATCCCACCTTGTCTAAGCTCATCTGCCAACGTTTATCTTGCAAAGTGACTGCAAACCATTACCGCCACAGTTCTTGTCCTGCTCTGGTCAAAGCGAGCAGTGATGAGGAGGTGAAGAGGGACACAAGCAGAGTCACAGTCACTGCTAAGTACAGGAAATGTCCAGGAATCTGTCTTGTCCTCTGTGCAGACATAAGGATATGAGATGGCTTGCCAAGTGGAGGATTATCCTCCTTTCCATCAAGAGCCGCTTTGTTCCTGTTTGGCTCCTTCTCTCCGTCTGTCCCTTTGACCCAGTCTGTATTTTACATTTACGTTTGGAGCTTTTAGGAAGTGCTCCTCATTCTTGGTGACATTCCTACTCACTTGGAAGCTACGGCGGAGCAGATGCGGAGGTGTTGCCGTTCGTCTAATTTGCCAGCTCATTTCCACCACTCTCTCCGACGAAGGCAACCCTTCTTAAGGGAAGCAGCTTCCTATTAAAAGTTTATTAAGCAGACGCCAGAGGAATGATTAAAATTCTCCACAAGCCAAATAGGATGAGAGGGGGGAGAGTGATTACACCCCAGTGTATGTCGTGCAGAGACATGTGTTTGTGTGTCTCCCCTGAAGGCAGAACAAGCATCTGTAATATTACTGTAAGTGTACAAGATGAGTAATGAAGTCAGAAGCACAGTGGATGACTGCAAATTACACTTCACTAATTCGTTTTTTCCTTCCCTTTTTTGTTCTTCCTCTCGCTCCTCTTCCTTCTGTGTCTCTTTTTAGAGTGGTCCAGTGCTGTCCTCCAGTGTTGCCCCTCCCCTCAATTTTCTGTCCCTCTGTTTGTCACCTGGTAAGTACTCTCAGATTCACCTCCCACGTATACAGTTTACAGGCTTTCAGTGTTTTTCAATCCTGTACGTAATCACTGCCCTCCCTCAACTGCAAATTGTCGTCACCTTTATGAAACGGCATCGTTTCCTGTAAATGGACACAGAGAGGCATTGTGTGAAGTGTTCTGGCCTCTCCCCCAGATAATATTTCATGTCATGAATCTAACCCTGCCTCTAAAAACCTGGGAAGGGTTGGGAAGCCTCTCTTACTGATCACAGAGCAGCTTCACGGATCAAATGATGGTACAAATAGCCACTTTCAGATCTTAGATTGGCCAAGGAGACAACAGTTGCTCTCTCATTACAACCACAATTCAGGTCAGTTAAAATGACATCTGTTTTGCTATTTTCAGAACAAAGGCAAGCGCATCAAATCAAAGGTAATAAGAAATGGAGCGCAGTAGCCGAGGACACCTGTTGACATTCTTCAGTTCTGAATGAAAACTTGTGCAGAATTTGAACACATTGGTCAAAGAAAGCCGTCTTCTGTATCTTCTCGCAAAATGTAGAGGCATGTTATCAATGTTGAAATGAGTGTATATCTTATTATTAATCAGTAAGTGCTTTTTGCACGTACTCAGGAAACCAACAACACGAGCCAGCTCTAATGTAACAGTCCCAGCTATCTGTCATCGCCAATTAAAGGGCTTGTTTACTAGAAGTGTGTGTCTGTGTGTGTGTGTGTGTGGGTGTGTGTGGGTGTGGCCAGGGCTTTTAATGATGGGTGTAGATGGCCTCTGTTTAGACATGTGTGTTCTCTGGCCTGATGGGATGGTTGGGCTGGGTGGGATAGTGAGTCCCTCTGTCTCTAAAAATACACACTGGGATCCCATTTTGTGTGTGTGTGTGTGTGTGTGTGTGTGTGTGTGTGTGTGTGTGTGTTCGTGACGCTGGAGGCTATTACTGGCCAGCAGGGTTGCTATGGAGACCAGTGGTGTCGGACAAGAGCAACATCTGCGGGGTGTTTTGTCCAGACAGGTTTTCCTCTTGATGTCTTCTCGCTCTGCTCCTCTGTCGACCTTCTCTGTCAAAGCCTCGCTGACTGAAAAGCTGTAGAGCCTGATGAAAGAATCTCCAGTCTCTCTCATCATTGGTGTTTTGGCTGTGTCACTCAGCGGGGACTCTCCGCTGGGCTCGCGCCAGTGGAAAGCACAAATTCAGGGGAAGCATTTAACCCCTGCCCCCGTCCTGCTCCCTCTCCTCACAGCTCCCGTCTCTATATGGACATGTTCTATTTCCACAGCTCCTTTCTCCTGAGCCTTATCGGCAGCTCAGCGGGGCACAAGTTCTCTTTTCATAGGTACTTATTTGGGCAAAGGGAGAAATCCCATATATTTGAGCAACCCCTACTCCCTCCCACTGTCCTCCTCCTGCCCAGTTCCCCTGGTCTCAAACTCTCAAGCCTCTATTTAGGACTCTTTTTAGGTCTTCCTTTGCGGGGTTATCCCTCATTCACTCGTGTCCCCCTCTGACATGGGCACCAGTAAGGCGAATGGGTGGAAGGCTGCATCTTATGGCTGGAATTTCAGATGTGACAAATTGTCCTTCCGTAATGTAGTTTGTTTTAGTCGCCATTCATTCTAAACTCCCTTTAGGTTCTGTATCGGGTACCCCGTGGGGTCATTTTGTAGGAACCAGCACAAACGGTTAACTACAAGTTTACTGAATTCATCTGAGGAGAATGGAATCTTTTTAAAATGAAATTCAGAGGCTTCTCAAAAAGTGTGTGTGTGTGTGTGTGTGTGTGTGTGTGTGTGTGTGTGTGTGTGCGCGGCCATCTTCAGTATTTCTGACCATGTTTGGGCAAACCTGGTCCCGAAAACACCCTCGGCAGAGTGTGTGTAGCTGGGCAAAGCAGACCTTCGACCCCCTAATCTGGTCTAAATGAGACCGTCGCACACAGCACAGTCCCGCACAGCGCAGTGCCGCACAGAGTCTGTGATGTAACAGTAATTTGGGGATAATTTGGTATTTTCCCTCTGAAGACATCGCTCTGCAGAAGGCCAGTTACCTAACTTCCATGCCCAAATTAACCGGCTTTTGCAGGTTGCCCTGCACCTACCTCCATCACCTCCGAGTGGAACATCAAGATTAGACTAAGCCGTGAGATAGATACTCGCTGTGTCCTCTTATTCCTCCAGGAATATAACACGGGTATCAAATAGCCTTCTTCGGTATGAAGTGTTTCTGTTATGGGACAACTAAGCAGGCAAATGATGCAGTGTAAATATATTAAGTAGGAGAAAATTAAAGTCTCATATCTGAAAATAGCCCAACGCTGGTGTTACTTCCTGAGCAAGAGCTCTGATGAAAATAGAAGTGAAAGAAAAGGAAGTCCTGTTTCAGAAGCAGTTGAGATTAATGTATTAGTCATCAGTCAGAACAGTATTTCCTTTTACACCGGCTGCTCTCAGGCTCACTCGTATCTGTGCTCACACGGTTTGTCCAAACACTTTTTAAAATCACCTGCCTTGACGTTAAAGTCTTTCTAATACCAGTGTTCCGGTGGGATGTTTCTATTATTAACCAGACACGGATACCATCTCCTCATCATCACCTCCATGAGAAATGTTCTTTTCCATATTCCCTTTGGTGGCTTCAGCTACACATATTCATCACTGTGCAAAGACTGAGGATTTCTAGTTCTATTGTAAACTCCTCTTCCCCATACAAAGCCACTGACTACATCACTGGTATGGAGAGTGCCCCAGTTCTGCATTGATAGTTTGTTCTCGGCCTAAAATGTTAATTTGATTCCGCTCTCCTGTAGTTTGTCTTTCCCAAATAACTCAAGTTATTACTTGCTATTGTTATTCACTCGTTAAACGGTCAAATAACAGTAGTTGTGATGCAGATATGCTGGCAGGGGGAGGTTTGGACCAGAGAGCCGTGTCTCAGTCGCAGGGTAGGTCAAGTGTGCTAATGCATCAGCCTGGCCCATCTACCTCATTACATTCAGGGAACTCCCTGACTAAGTGCCTTTTTAAACAGACGCACAAACACACACACTCAAGTGCAGTGCTCTAAATACCTCCGATTAAGATGGCTGATAACCCGGGGACGGCCCTTACCCCTCTCTCCCCTCCTCCCCTCGTGTTCCCGCTGAGGGGCCTCAGTATTCCCCCAGTGAGGGTCGTCATTGGCCCTCGGGTCAGCAGCCTCTCTCTGACATGCACTCACGCTCACTAACATCCACCATTTGGCAGAGGCTTCAGGCCATCATTTATTAGGTGAATGCTCGGTCCATTAGGCCTTGTGTTATATTCTTTGTGTAACTTGATTTGGCAGAGGATGGATGTGGATGACTATATATAGGACTCTCTCGGCATGTGGATCTCCCAGTATGGCCGTGTATTATGTGAACTCATTTACATCTTCAGCTGCTCTTCAGGAGGAATGAACCCTGGAGAGAGTGACCTGAAAACTGTCTTGTGTGTGAAAGTGAGTGAGATCCTGGGAAAGTCTTATTCTTATTGACGCCCATGCACTCGGTATAGGATATTTGTGCGTGTTCAGTCGGACAGCAGCTGGACACTGTAGTCGGTGTGTGTGTGACTGAAAGACGGACGGTTTCCAGTATCCCAGGCTCAAGTTAATTATGTAACCTGGGACTAAGGAGCGTGAGTGAGCAGGGTGATCCTCAACTATAAAAGGCAAAGACGAGGGTGGAAGAGGGTCCTTTGGCTCGGAAAAAGACATTCAGAACAGCATACTACTTCCTCATCCGTAGTCCCAGAGAAACAGATGGTGATAACAGATTTTTGTCTGTTATTTTGCCAACTCTCATAAGAAAGTGTTTTTTTTCTCGTCTCTCCCCATCAATTCTGCACAGAGGGAGCAATTTTGCCATCAACGTGAGATCAGAAACTTGCTTAATGACCTTAAGAGGGTTTCAAAATAGAACTTTTACACGTATTGGAGAAAAGTCAAACTTTTCAAGCTTTCTTTTCTTGAGAATTAGATTTTACCTGTGTGAAAAGATGACAACTAAATAGGGCCACACTTCAATTTCCGTCTCAATGAGTAGTTATGACTGGAATAGAGAGGGTGGTAGCGAGCTGGAATCCATTTAGTTTTAAACACCTCTGATCTTTCATTTCCTCCTAACCCTTCCTTTGTGTGAGGTTGTGCACTGTGTGTGATTTACCGCAGTGTTCGCTTGTTTTTCTCACGTTTACACCTGGGACCTGCCACACATGCGCTGCCACAATCTACTGGTAGCCAATTACCAGCTTCACTGGAGCAGCTGTATAACTCAAGTTGTGTGCCTTGCACAATGGCATTTCTATGGTTGTTTTTAGAAGGAAAGATTCTTGTCCTTATGAGTCATTGGTCCAAACAAACTCTTAATGCAGCAGACCTCCTCATTGTGAAGAAGTCTCTCCAAGGTTAGTTCACAATAAACAGAAGAATTGTCATCGGTAATAGATTTTGGAGTGATCCACTTGTTTTTGTTGAAGTCTGTAAAGAGCCTGTAGCAAGCTAAAGGAAGGCCACTGGTTCTTATTGCTCCCGTTGTTGGGTGCTTTTTAATGCGCTCTTGTTCCAACAGTGTAGAAGATTAAGATTTGTGATCTTTTCATCCCAGCTCCCCTCCTCTAACCTGTAGGCTAAAAATAGCGATGTACATTCCTGACTCTGGGCTGAGATGGTTTTGTGGTCCAACGAAAACAAACTTAAACGTGCATGGGTTGACAAAACGCATGGATGGAAACAGGCGTGAGAAAAAACATGGAGACACATACGCAGCCACATGAGCACACAAAGTCACTCGCTGCTGGAGGGGCCACAGAAACCTCAGTTGACACTCAACAGTCAGTGGAGCCCAAATGTGGATCAATACAAACGAGGGGAAAGGGAATTCTGGTAGTGATTAGCGGCTGGTCTCACCATTCAGCTTTTCCACTCGCTCTCTCCTCAGTCCTGCACCTCTCCACACTGAAACTGTTCCTTGCATGCC